GTCCAAAGCATTTAGCTTTGGATGCATGGCTTATTATATTACATGCATTAATAAGGAATACCTGTTGGGATATTAGGAGAGAACTGATTGTACCTTTATTAGCCAACTTCCCTGCTGAGACAGTTTCTGCTTCTTGCTTTTTAGCTGACACAATGCCAGTACTTACTGGGATAGTTGCTAAAAAAATTAAGAAAAACATGTTGCATGAAATGGCTATTTCACAAAGGATAAGAGTAAAACCCGTAAAACAACTTTAATTATGAATTGATTATCAAACTAAGGGGTTGTCTAGAGGCCATGAATCTCTGTGTAGGCAAAATGCAGGACCCCGACTTTATGGGTGACAGCAAATGTCGGAAAAGCAGTGACATTTTTCAGTCTCTGGATCAAATAATTTGCAAACTGGCCTCTACCCAAGATCCCAGTAGCAAACAAATTTACATCCCACCAGCAGAGGGCGCAGACACACTGTTCTGAGAGGCTGGATGTGCACATTCCGTCCTCTCGCCCTCCCGAGGGCAAAACGAAGAGAAAAGAATCAGTATCTGTGTTTCATTTTTCATTTGTTATCCGTCTGGGATCCTCCCTCCCTCACACACACACCAAATCTGAAAGGACATATTTGCAGGGATCCTTTTCAGTGGCAGTGGTAAAGAAGTTACATTATACAAGAATGTTGATAGGTTCAGTTATGTGTGCCATGTTTTTGTTAGTTGTTTCCATCAAGGTAATTAGAACATTTCTTAACTTCCTCTCAAGGGAAACCTCTCATCTAGATCACTGAAGGGAAGTGATTTCCTTGCCTGGCAGAAATGAGTCACAGAAAATGACTTTCTGTGGATGTTTAATTGTTGCCTAATTTAGACTTTAGAATCCTCTGCAGAGTTACATGAACCCATGAAGTTTTAGATGCAGAGCCCCAGAGAAAGTTGGCCTGAAAGTGCTTTTGAAGTGTTCTATTTAAATGAGTGGAATTAATTACAGAATTGTTTGTTAGATAAAAACTGAGAAGAGTGGAAGACAGATCCTCTTAAAACTCCTGCGTGAGAGAGCTTGCCTTGACGGCCAGTGGTTAGGGTATTGTGCTGGGGCTTAAGAAAACTGTGTTATAGTCCCCACTCAGCCATGGGTGGCTTTGGATTCTCAGCCTAACTCAGCACACAGGGTTGTTGTGAGGATAAAATGGAGAGTAGAAGAAATAGGTAAGCTGCCTTGGGTTCTTCTCAAGAGGAAGAAAGATGGAGTATAAATGTAATATCATTCATAATAATACATGTTAGAAGAGTAAATTATCCCTGTGATATTCAGTGCTTGAACTTTTAGGGAGGCCTGGCCCCTGACTAAACCTAGAAATCCCACCATTCTCCACTCTTACTCCATTCTGATCATGCCCTTTTGTAGCATTCTGAAAACAGTAGCTATGAGCCCCTCCCCTGTAATTCAAGCATAGAAGGTGCTGCTTCAAATCCTTCTCTTGAGATCTACTCCAAATCTTTCTGACCCAGACTAAAGGGACAGATTTTATTAGGAATATTTGGACTTGCACGGTAATTCAGTGGACCAGAACATTTTTGTCCAACAGTACTGCACTATGGGGTATGTAGTGTTTGTCACTGAAAGCACATGTAGTGCCAAGTTAGCCTCTCTAGAAAGATCATTCCATAGTCAGAGGACCACAACTGAGAAAGCCCTGTCTTAGTTCTCGTGGACCTTGCTTCCGAAAAGACGAGCAGCCCAAAGACAGGTTCTTTGAGGAAGATCTTTGTAAGAGGATAGGAGTGACTCCACTCCTTTAATAAAATACTGGGTTAAGATTTTGCATTGTGTTAAGTGTATTTAAGGAATTCTGAGCATGGATCTATTTCTTAGCAATCAAAAAGCTAGAGCAAGGACTATCTAAGAGATGCAAACATTCCAGAGGGACATAATCACCTCAACTGACATAGAAAAAGGAAGATGAATTATCTCAGTAGAAGGATCTGTTGGGACAGCAACTTGTGTAATACTTTCCCTTCCCTTTTCTGTGCTGTTCTGTACCTTTTCTTTTAGTAAAGTTTTGAAAATGTCTTGATGGGACATCCAGCCCTTCACAGCCTACACAGCATTTATCCAGAGCACCAGATAAACTGCAGCAGAAGATTCACATGTTCTGTGTAGGGGATGGTGGTTTTTGGAGAATTTTTTTATGATGCTATTATGCTAAGTTGGGAACACAGGAAATGTGCCTTGCAAATACTAAGTGAAAAGGGAGTATCATGATGTTATGTTAATACAAGTTGAACCAGTCCAATACATTTGCAAATGCAATTTCAGAGTCATTAATAGGGGTGTCAGAGAAATTTGCAATGGATTCAGATGAGTTCAGATTTCTGTGAATTTGACCTATAGGTTCTGCAGTGGGCCAGTTTTTCATGGGGTGCACAAATTCTGTAGACCTGCATATTAGTTTTTATTAGTTGGGGAATGTGCAAATCTGCACTTACATTATTCTCAATGTGCATTCATGCAAAATATACCTTCATATTCATGCGCATTGGTACTAATGCACACTAGCACAAGTGAAACATTCTCATCCTTAAAAAAATCTAATTCTGCCAGTGAACAGATGATGAACTATGGCTAGCTGGGAAATGCCAAGTTAAATACATATAGTTAGGATCCCATGAAGCTGTACACTCCCAGTCCTATGCCGCAAGTTTGGGTCTGAACAGGGAATTCTGACATTGTGCCAGCAAAGACTATATAGCAGCTTTCCCTGACTTATCACCCTCTCTATGTATTGGACTACAATTTCCATCATTCTCAGGTAAGATGTGAGCTGAGAGTGATGGGGGTTGCAGTCCTAGACATCTGGAGGGTGCCAGGTTGTAGAAAGCTGCCATTTGGCAAGCAAAACCCTATTTTGAAGAAAGGAAATGATTCTTTTCACTTGCTGGTTTTAGCGCCTATTGCTGTTATATTATCTGCCCTCAAAAAGCCTCTGACCTATGGTGACCCTCTGAGCACCCTCCAGAATGTCCTATCCTTGATGGCTGTGGGCAGCTCTTGTGAACCCAGGGCTGTGGCTTCCTTGATGGAATCCCCGCACCTCATAATGGGCCAGAACTTGTTGCCTACATAGCACATATAAAATTAGATTCTAATGGCTCCTGGTGTAGCCATGTGACTAAATTGATTGCCCCATCAGTAACCAACAACTGTGGTTACATTGGCACTCTATTGCAAAAGAATGGAAGCAGTTTCCAAACAGCTTCGTATTTCCACAAAAACAAACCATTGCTTTTCTGAATGTACATAAAAGGTGATATCAAGTGCAACTAAAGTGCAAGCTGATCTATAGCAAATGAGCATTTGTTGTATAACAGACAGATTGTGAGCAGGAAAGCCTTCACATTAAGCACAGCTGTCTCAGAGCTGAATAGGAAGTAGTGATTCTGTAATCTTTTACAATTATTCCATTAAAATACTTTTATGTCACCTATCATGTAAAAAAATGAAGGCAATATATCTCCACTGTGACTTTAACTGTTATTTAAGTATAGATATATGATCAACTGTCCTGTCTTTTTAGGGGAGCTCAGAACACTTTACTGTTAACTCTTCAGGTGGGGAACGACTTCTGTATAAATTTAACATAACATTATTTTCACGGTCTGTGATAAGAGTTGCAAAACAAGAACAAGATCATGAGGGATCAACAGGGTCTGCTGTTGCTAGGATGTTTCCGTATCGGGTTGCTAAGATGGCTGGAGATCGGTGGTGAAATCTATCAACAGGTGCCCCGCAGTAAGCCCCCTTGTGGGTATGTTGGGAAGTCTCTTTCGGTGGCAACATTTATGAAAAATGCCTCATCTACACGTGGGAAAGCAGCTTCTGACACTGAAGAACTGCCGATCTTGTTCTATTGGCAGATCATGGATGGTTTGCAGTAAATTAGCCCCGAGTTTTTGGTACTTAATGAAATGGCTTTTCTAGCAGCAATTCTCCGCAAGTCAATCTGTTCTTCTGTTTCTGTACACCACTTAAGAGACTTCTTGAATGGAAGCAATTCATAAATATTGTTAAATACATAGTTCAACAGGACCAACAGTAGGGTTTCCCACACCCAAAATAAGTTGTCTACGTGAAGATTTCACTTCTGTGTGAAAAGAGTGGAGTTTTATTCAGTTCCGGTGCTGAAAAAAATTCGGGGGCAAACTCAGTTTGTGTTCAAAGGCACCCTGTTTAATTCCAAGCACATGCCTTTTGCATCTGGCTGTGGTTGGTGGGGAGTTCTAAATAACAATAAAACCAATTCAAAAAGCAGAGCCCACAAGCCTTAAGTTTGGTCATTGCTGCCCTTAGAGTTAAGCCGCCCTGAATGCCGTTTCTCTTGGTGGAAAGGCGGGATAAATCACATCACAGGAGAGATACAGTCTGCGGGATGAGGCACGATCCTTGGCCGCCTGCTTACTCAGAATGACATCCGTCTGAGCGGGACGGGAGGTACAGCCGAGCAAGCGCTGCTAGAACTATTTATCTTCTTGTATGAAGCCAGCCCAGATATTTTTCTCGGCCAGCTATTTTTGCTCGCGATTTTGGCGCGGGGGAGGAGGTGCTATGCAGAAGTTGCCGGCGGCACGATCCTCGCACTCTCCCATTCATCGTGGTTCTCCTTCGCTGGCTGGCAGGCAAGTAAGCAAGCCGCCGCCGCTGCCGCCGCCGCACCCCCACCCCGCGCCGCCGGCCAGTCCAAATTGCCGCCGCGTTTCTTCTGCTGCTTGTCTGTAAGACAAATCTCTCCCTCCGTGTTTCTCATTTTTTCCCCCAATAGGGAGAGGCCTGCCAGAGTGGGCCCAATGAGAGCTCCAGCCGGCCTGCGGTTAGCCAATGAGAAGGCAGCTGTGGGGGCGGCTGCTGGAGAAGACGTTCTTTTTCGCCTCGCGAAGTGGGGGGGGGGGGGCGCGCGCGCGCTCGCGGCGGGGTTGCTTGTGTGTCAGTGCTGTCCTGCACTTGCAAGAGCAGCGGCAGCAGCCCGCCCGGCCCGAGCAGCGGGTGCAAGGGAGCCGGCCTCTTTCGCTTTCTCGGCGGCGGAGCTGAGGCGTCGGCTGCAGCATGGCGGTGGAAGAAGAGGGGCTCCGGGTGTTTCAGAGCGTCAGGATTAAAATAGGTACGGGGAGGGGGAAGAAAGGCGGGAGAGTAACAAAGGGAGCGGAGAGAGAGTCTGCTTCTTCCATGTTGAGCGGGGACTTTCGAGTCCACAGCCCCGCGGGATGGCGAGGAGCGCTGTGGAGAGGAGGGGGACGGGGTTGGAAAGGGCAGATTTGCTCCAGCGTTTACTGCAGCACGAAGAGCGCCGCAAGCTTCTTGGTCTCCGAAGTGCTCGCCGAAGAAAGGAGCAGCGGTTGCCGGGCTGGGGCGAGCGAACACGTCCCGTCGCCCTTTTTAGGGGCTCAGGCTCTTTGCGTCGTCCGAGTGGCACCGGCGACTCAGCCTAGCCGTTGCTTCTTCGCTTGCACCCCTCCGTCCCCAAAAGGGATGACAGACGCGGAATGCCTCTGGTAGATAATGGAGTGGAGAGGATCACCAAAGCGTGGGAGGGCTGGCTGCGGGGTGGACTCCGAAAGAATGCACAGCCGGGACGGGGAGGGGGGGAGGCGTGGATAGTTTTACCGGGTAAAGAAGAGATGCTGGCAAGAGGAGGCAGACAAGGATGCTAAGACGCAGTCTGCAGCACTAGACAAGAGAATGTCGCTTTTCAGCTTGTTTGGAAAGTGCTTTGATGGTCAGTATGAAGCCGTGCAAGAACTGCCTTGCTGGATCACACCAGGATCTTTCTGGTCCTCTGTTCTGTGACCAGCCAGAGGCTGTGCTCTTGCCGAACCCAAAAGCTCAAAAGTCAGTATTATCACTGTAAAAACCTGCAGGTTGTCATTTAAATAGCACATCGTGTGGGATTTCTAAGTTCTGCACACTCAAGTCTGAAGAAGAGTCTTGTTTGTCTGCTGGCATTCAGTTAGTTCAATGCCATTTCCCCACCCTCTTTTCTCCATCTCTGAATATTATCTCACTTATGCCTCTTTTGCAACCTCTATCACCTCTTGATAGATCTCCTGCTATTTCTTGTGCCTTCCCGGCCTGCCATGGCTTTCCACTTACATTTGACTCTATCAACTTACTGTCATCCCACTGCTCCCCAGTGGTTTCCTGTCGGCATTCCTGCACCCCATAATATTTCCAAGGCCTCCCATCTTCTTGCCATTTCCTGTTGGTATAGTGTGGTCATCATGAAATGATGGTTTTGTTCCTCTTTGTCATCACCACCAGTTTTAAGATATAAAGACACCAGTGTGTTCCTTTTTAGCAGAAATCCAGTGAAAATTTACTTAGATTGCGGTCTTATGTGTGGCTACTTAGAAGTAAGCCCCATAGCAAGCAACTCACTTATTACTGTGTATATTGTGTATGTGTGTGTAGGATTGCAGTCACAATCTATTTTGCACTCTGGGCATTCCACTGTCTTCATGCCTTTAAGGAGGGCCCTCTTGTGTTCTGTCCTGAAATTTCTCTGACTGAGATGATACAGGCTGAGCAAAGAGAGATGACTTGATGTTTCTGTGTTAAATAGAGGTAATGGCTATTTGCCATTAACATCTTGGGGACCAACCTAACTTGTGATCTCTGCTTATCAATTGGAGTTATAGGAATTTCTTCTTGCTTTTTCTGTTTTTCTGCCTTCCTCTGATCTTGTATGTGTCATATGCTCTTTGTTGGCTGTCATACCAGTGATAGTAAAACTGGCATGCAGTTGTGCAGATCCAGTGGAAGAGCTATAAGTCTAATTATATGACCTCAGAATGTGATTTGCTATACCTTCTAGGCTTGTATTATGGTTTTCTAGACACATCAGGCTGGAATTGCCACTGTAGCCCCTAGCATGTACCCCACCCCAGTTTGCACATCGTCACAACCCAGGAATACCGCTTCAAAAACTGCTGTTGTGAATGAGGCTGCACACTAGTAGCTGCTGCACAGTCCATGCCACCAACTCTGACCATTTAGGGGAGAGACAAATCAATCACAGTTCAAGGTTTGGATATCCTGATAAGCAGCCCAGGTATAGAGCATTCAGTGATGTGAGTTTCCAGCAAAATGTCCAGTGAAAATTAGGTTAATATACATAAAGTCATTAGCAAAGAAGTGTTTTAAGTTTGCCATGGGGAAAAAACTTCCCATGCAGGAGTAGACAATTTGTGTCCCTCCAGATGTTTTGGCCTTCATTTCTATAATCTCTTTCCATTGTCTGTGCTAGCTGAGCTGATGGAAATCACAAAGCAGAACACGCAAAGGACCACAAGTTACCCACCCCTGCCCTGAGAAGATCTAGTTTAGCATGTTTATATTACTCATATTAGTAAGCAACAACGCTAAAAAAGATCTAATGTTATTTTTTGACCCAGTATGCTACAAGTATTTGACTTGAGACTTATCACATAATATGATCAAACGGGCATTTTTATTGGAATACATGTGAAAAATCAAAGGCAATACCATGCACTTCCCTTACAGTTTTTATACTTAAGAAAAAACAAACAGAAAACCCCACAAGAATTAATAGCTGTTGACACACTAATCAATTTTAGCCATAGCACTGCAAATATCTGTTCATCATATGTGGACAGCCATTCATTTTTTTCAGCAGAGTTCAGATCTCTTCCACTGAGGTGGTTTAGGCATATTTAATTTTATTGTTTTTACCTGTTGATTCCATTTCACGCTGAGATTTATGTATTTCAATAACATACAGGTTTTCTCTCACATACTTGCTTGGGATTATGCCCTGAATACATTAGTTGCAGTGCTGAAATGCCAAACTTGCCTAATATTGTATTGGCATATATTAATTTTTACTTTCAAATGTATGAAAGTGAATTATTTCTGCAGAATATTTAAGTACTGGAAAATCTTCCCACATTCCTTGATGTGATCCCTAGATTGCTTAGCTATTTATGCCAGCAGGAGGAGTCAAGCAGGAGAGATCAAGCATGACAACCCAAGATTTACAAAAACTCCCGAGTGGTTAGTATGTGTGAACCCTTCCATTCCCATTTTCCCATTCCCATTGCACACTTTTGTGAGACTTCTCCATGTTCTTTTACTACTTGATAATGACCACGGCAAGATAAACGGGAATAGTATATTCTTTGGACAAATGCACTTGTACAATATTAGCTGCATTTCTTTATTTTTTCTTTATTGAAATTCTTAGAGTGCAATCTTATGCATGTTTAAAGAGAGAGAAATTCTAGAACTCACAGCATTTTCCAGCAAGGCATTCTGGCAGGGGATTGTAGAATTATAGGGTTGCTTCCTTAGTTACCTTTCTCTTAAAAAAAGAAAAGAATGTTGACTTACAGCTAAATTATTAAAATTTACAAAGTATAGAACAGCTTAAAAACAATTTCTGTTACAATACCAAAACAGAAAGCATAGCAAGAATAACTGATCCCTTCATATGCCTGAGAGGAGAAGAAAGCCTTGACTTGGTGCTGGAAAGATGATCATATTGGCTCCAGGCAGGCTTCAGTAGGGAGAGCCACTGAAAGAATTCTTTTTTTTAGCATCCTCCAAACCTCCCTGAAAGGAGACCATTTGAGAAGGGCCTGAGATGTTGATCCCATTGTGCAGGTAGGGAGAAGTTCTCTGAAAAACTTACCATATTCACCCAAGGTTTGAATTGTGTGTGGTATTGACACACACAATAACTTACTGGCCAACAATAACTGTTAGATCCCATTTGTGCATAGCATGCTGAGAATCTGAGAACATGAACATAAAATGACTAGTGGCACATGCAGTAAAGATTTCCTGTATTCCAAGTAGCTAATGCTTCAATCTGCTATTGACTATTCACAGTATGCAGTTGCTCTGTGGCTGTCACAGAAGGTAGTTTAATTTGTTTGAAAGATGTGCTATTATTTTGACTGTTGAATGACTTCCAGACCGCATCATTAGAAAGTAAGCAACAGATGTCACTGTTGTAGATTAAAACTTGCTCTGGTATTATTCTGACTGTACAGGGTTACAGGGCAAGTGCTATACTCTTAACAAACTAAATCCAGTGGGAGAACCCCTTCTGCTCCCTTACCGTTACCCGAAGTCTGTTGTGTTGATGCTTGTAAAAGCAAATTCACACCCATGCTATAATGCAAATCCAAGTGGTAAATATTAGCTTGGTAAGAAAATGATAATGTGATAGCTTTTGCCAAAGTACTTATTCAGTAAACGGTTATGTTGTTTTGTGAAAGTACTACAAAAGTACAGTGGAAACAGTGTGCGCTAGACAGTTTAGCAGCTCATTCAATTCAGAATTTTGTATAGTAATGCAAAATTTGCCTTCATATTTCACAAATAAAGGAACACCTTGCTGTATTAAACACTTGGGCCTGCATTAAAGAAAAAAACCCCAATGCTATCTTGTTAAAAGTGTGAAAACTCCAAATCAATTAAAACCTGACCTGTTTCACCAGAATACTAACCACTTTGCCTCAAGCTTAGTATTGTCATGTGTCAGTTTATAAATCCAGGCAACATAATCAGCACAGTAGGAAAAATTGGTCATGGATAACCTACCATATCTGATTGGGTTCTTCCAATAGGTGTTTATCTGTAGCAGGAACAGTGGTATTTATTAAAGTGCACAGACATGTGCATGCATACATATACACCACCCACATGCATATACAATTAGAAATTTTTATACATTCCAGTTCTGCTTTTTCTTTTTAAATAGTTTTCTTTAGGTCCCCTATCAAGTCTCCTACATTTGTTTTGAGCTTAAACTTCCATCAGACCCTGCTGGCTTGGCCAGTGGCCAGGTACCCTGGGAGTTGTAGTCCAAATCATTGGGGGCTTACCAGGTTGGGGAAACCTCTCTTATATCATAGTCCTACAGAAAGAGCCATGAGAATTGTTCTTTCAAAGGGCCAAATAGATGTGATGCTAAATGCATAATTAGAACAGTTTTGGTTTTGGTTTTTTTCCCACTTTAAGTATTTAATAGTAGTTTGAGGGGAAGCAATTTTCCTCAGGACCACAGTTTGTGGGGAGATGAGGTTTAACCTTTCTCCCTCTGGCAAAAATGTCTGCCTCTCTCACCTGCTATTAAAT